AAGTCTTTGAAGGCACTTTCCATGCAGGGGACAAAGGCTGGGCACATCCATGCCTCATCCCCAACACGGACAGGGGCACCAGGTCCCTGCATGGACCCTGGGTAGAGGTTGTCTTCCAAATGGAGACCCCCCAGTCACCACAAGGAAAAGCCCAATCCATAAATTCTGCAAGGATTAAACACTAGCTGCTCAGTAAGCTTTGAGTGCTCAGCAGCATCAGGGCTGGAGAAGGTGTATGTGGACTTCCAGGTGCTTCTGTGGTGAAAAAGGTGGTGTCCTCCATGGCTGGTATGAGTTTTGGAGTGAAGATGCCTGGGGAGGTGATTTGGTGCCTCTGTCTATCAGGGAGGGATATTTCTCATTACCTCTGGTGGGCCCTCAGGGACGAGGCAGAGCAGCTCATTGCACGTCACAGGCTTTTCATCCAGGTTCACTTCACTGGATAAAAGAGGTGACTCTTCACATGGAGCCTCCTCTGTCCCCACATCAGGCTGAACTGCTGTCTCCATAACCACACAGAGCTCATCCAGCCTGTGCCGCAAGCTCTTCTGGAAGAGAGAGAGATTTTGGAGGTCTCCAAAGGTAGGCAGCAGTGGTGACCTGAAGACAACCTGTAGAGAGCATGATTTCCTCCTGCAGGTTTTTTATTCCTGGGATTTAGCATCCCAAGAGCTGTGCCCAGCACTGGGAGCTGGGTGTCCATCCCACAGCCTGGCTGCCATCAGCTGCCTCTTGTGCTGGGGTCTGTTCCAGCATGATGGTCACACCTAGCATGGAGAATCTTATCCTTAAAATCTCTGTGAGGTGTTATCAGCCTCTGTGTGAATTGGGGTGTCACTGCCTTGAGATATTTGGAGGGTTGTACCCCTTCACCTCTCATCGCATGACCATAGTCAGTTCAGTGCACATTTATACACCCACAGAGAGCAAAACATTTTCTGCAGGCTAAGAGTATTTATACACCCACAGGGAGCAAAACATTTTCTGCAGGCTAAGAGGACAAACTTCTTATGCAATTAACCTAATATAGCGTTCCCTTCTTCCTCAGGCTATCCCATTTATTCCAGGAGGACAGCTCAAGGTGTCAGCTGTTTCAAGTTGAGGCACATGCCTCCAAAATTTACCTTTGATTCTTGATGACTTTCCTTCATTAAACCTGTGCCATTAATTACCCAGACACACACCTACCACAGG